AAAAAAAAACAAATTTATTAAAAATGTTAATTACGATCGTCACGATGATGCCCAATAGGAATTTGCCAAAAAGTGATATACGGCACGTGATCTGAATTTTTTTCGCCATGGCTAGGGTACCTCAAAAAAATCGATATTTTTGACAATATGAAGGTTTTTTTTTTTTAATCAAATTACTTCACCGTAACGAGATTGAAAAATAAAAGTGTATTTTTAAAATGTATAGTTATAGTCCAATTTGGTATACTAAGTACAAAATTATCTTAGCTAATTCAGCACATGTTACTGAGAATTTTTTTTAGCATTTACATAACTTTACTCAGTTGATTAAAAGTACTTTACTCAACAGGGTATAATCTAAGTTTTATGCATCAATCTCATGAGTTCATATTATTTCAGTATTTGATAAAAAGACGTATTGTACGAATTGCCAAATGACGTGCGATATTTATATTATAAAGGTCTTAAATACACAATATTTATTTATTTATTTATTTTAAATTATTTAAACATATCCAGACCGGTCAGACTGGTTTAATTGGTATTTTTGGAAGGAGATGGTATAGATGCAAAACGGCTCGACCGGCTTGTATATTCATAACTATAATAAAAATTGATTAATAAACAGAGCCGATGAGCCGATTTACATCTCTAGGTTTGATATTTTTTTCATATATATAAATATACATTTTCTTTTTTTTTTTTTTTTTTTTGAAAAAATTTTTTTTTCTTAAAATGGAGAATTTAAATTTGAAAAATAATTAATGCATATAGAATTGATCTTATATTTTGAATTATCACGCCCAAACGCCTAATAATAAAAAACAGTTTGGTAAGTTGTTGCTTTTAAACAATGCTTTGTCCTTATCGTTGTTAAAGGAAAAAAATTTAAAAGCTATACTAATGGTAAATGTACTTACCAATCAAAGACATAATACCAGCACCAACAATCAAACAGGTGAAGGCGACAATTTGATTTTGTTTAGGAATTTTATTTTGAAAGTCCAGGTCATATATAAAGTCGTTGGCAATAAGTTCAACCAAAGCAGCATATAAAAGAATTCCAGCAGAGATTGAATCAAAAACTCCTTGTACGATAAGCGCAGTATCAGAATTAGGATTATAGGAATTACGAATTAATAAACCTATAAGAATGCCTATCGGAGTTGTAGTTCCGTAAGCCAATGACATCAACCATGGTTCAATACTTTTCGGGGGAAAGTGGAGCTCAGCAATACGAGAACCGAGCCCAAGGCCTTCGAACATCTAAGTTAATATTTATTGATATTTGAATCGTTAACATAATTAATATAATGCAATTACATTTTTAATATAATTGTTTAAAACAATATTTACTTGATGAAATATTAATGCGACAAATAATGAAATAAATTCGTCGCCAGAGACGGATAAGGCCATTCCAATAATTACCGAATGAAAACATATACCACACTCTAAAATAATGATACCTATTATTTCAGCCCGAGTGCCTAAAACGGTATGAGCATGGTGGTGAAAATGTTCGAAAGTGACACCCGGTTTATCGGCGACGGCCTCATTAACGGTATCTTCGTTATTCACTTCACCCATCTTGTCGGCCACTCTTAACGCGAAGTATTCAATAAAAAAGATGAATAATGCAGCCATCATTGCGATTGCACCTGGCCAAGCACCGTAACTTGTCCACACCGACGGAAGACATGGATTATTCAAAGACGCAAATGCCGATGGAAGCATGTGTACTAATATATAAAACAGTAAATTAGTTTATTATACTTAAATATTTTTTATTCAGATAAATAAAATTGTAATATTACCAAAAGCTGTGGCGAGAATCACGCCGCTCCCAAAGTGTTTGGTAACTATTTATTCATAAAAGAGATTGTTAAAATTTATCTGATAAATTAATGATTGATAATAATAATTAATATTTACTGAAAAATACTATGCTTGGAATCTTAAATGCGGGATATTTCTTTGAGATGACAGGAGTGAATGCACCTATTGTTAATATATATATATGAACTTAGAGACACAACTAGTTAAATGTTATATTATTATTATTATTTTCTTTTACCAAAAGAGCTAGTTGCAAGAATTACAAAAAGGGCGGCCAAATGAGCTCCAAAGTTATAAGAAGAAATGTCTTGCTTAGATGAACAATGAGGAGTGCTAGGTTGAGTAGAGTTGTCCGGAGTAGTGGTGTTGGTGCTGGTACTGTTTGCTATACATTGAAAGAAATGAATAAACTGCTTTAATTTTTTCTTAAGTGCTCTGGATAACCTTTCTTACCATCTTGAGCGCAGACCGAGCTAATAATAATTGTAAAAACGAGAGTATAGTAAAGATATTGAGTCTTATAAGTCATCTTTAATTTTAATTTTAATTTTTTTATTTTTTTATTTTTTTTTTTATTTTTATTTTTTTTTTTTTGAACTCGCGAGCTTAAGGAATAAGGAGAAAGTGTAAAGATTTCGGTGGTTTTCATAACCAGCAAGGTACACAGCAGGAGTACCTTACCGGTTATACCGGTTATTGCAAGATTTAAATATAACTATTGAGGTACTCAGGTGTACAATATATCTGTTGGTATGTACCAAACATATCCTGTTCTATTGCAGAAATGATTGTTGCACAGTTATTTAAATGTTCAAGATAGACATATATTAACGAGACAGATATTCTTGATAGTTTAACGACACTATTTATCTGATAGCATCTCGTGTTTCTAAATGTTAGCCCAATTATACTATTCATTATCTAGTTAGTGCGATTTTGTAATTTACGTATTAATGACTTGAACGGGCAACAAATGAATCTCCTATAATCATTTATGATGATTTCACATAACAATATAGTTTAGCTGATCAGCCATTTGTGTGTGTATATGCATGGACTGCATAACCGGTGGGGTCATCTTTTATCAGAACAGTGCACATTATAGTATAAAGACACGATTTAGAGATATCAATGCAAATTTTGTACAAACGCAAGATAATCAATCAATCTTTTTATTATAGTTGGTTTTAAATAGTCAAAATTCATGTACTGTATCCATTGAAAGTTATACAATGCCCAAAGATTAGATATCTGATACATGGTAGTGTATACAGTAAAATTCTGTACGTACGTATGTTAGATCAATTTGTAACACTTACTAATATATAATTTTTAATTAGCTTTACTCATACAACACTCGTTATAATGGTTTATTGTGTTATATATATATATATATTTTTTATTATTATTTTTTTTTTTAAGGTACTGTGCATTTTTTTTCTTTTAAGATTTTCAGCGGGCGTTGCTCACTCATTCGGCAGACAATCACTTTATAGACACCGTACTTTACTGGTAATTAGTGCAGTTTGCAAAATTTTGTGAAATTTGCAGGTCATAAAAAAAGAGAATCACTCGATTGATAGATGATTTCTACTTCTTAAAAGTACTCCTATATCTGAATGTAACAATTGAATGGTTTCTCTTTTTTTGATGTGCAAAATTTGCAAACCTCTTAAGTTTATTTTGTAGTAATTAATCCACAAACAAATTCATTTCATAGACAGTTTATTTTACCGGAAACTTTATTTCACTTCACCGACAAAACAATTACAGTCATTTTTTTGTTAGGGTTAGAACTAGCATTATGTTTGTCTGGGAAATAAGATGCCTATGAAGTTATTGTTGAAGTGATATAAATCTAAATTTCTGATGTCTTTAACGTTAAGCAGAATTTTACTGACTACACTAATTGTGACAAATTCGGGTGTGATTGTTAAATGTAATTGATATAAAAAAGAAAAGATATCGATAATATTTATATATTATATAAATAAGTTAAGAACTTCGGGAAATGCCGAAAATCATGTTGACTAATTGCTTAGTAATAATATCCGGATTTCGGATTTCTTACTCGAATATTGTCTAATCAAGCTTCTCTTTAGCTTTCGAAATATTTACTATGCCAAATTCACAATATTAAATTTATAAATGATGTAAGATTTTAAAAGCTACAATAAAATTTAAAAAATATCAAATATTACTAGAGCAGCTCGTTTAAAAAAAACAACTTGATCCAAATATGAAATATAGGTAAATGTATTATATAGAATTAAAATATAAACCTTTATTAAATTTGACTAGACAATTATTAAGATACTTATCTTTAAGATTAAAAAAATTTAATCAAAGTTTTTTGATAAGTATTTTTAAATTTTGAATTATAGTTCTGTAGCTATAATCGTTACTAGGATCAGGCGTAATACTACTATTAAACCAAACTTTTACAAAAATAAAATCTTGCAGTTAAGGTTAAAGGTTAGAACTATTTAGAGCTGGAAATAAACGAATTTTTTTTGCTAGAATATAAAAGATGGGTTTATAATTAAAATTTTAGGTTATTGTCAATTTTTTTTAAAAAACAACTTTTGTTTTAATTTAATATTATATTTAAGTTTTAAATTTGATTGGTTTTATGGAATTTATTTATAGAAAAAATAATTTTTTATAGCAATAAATAGTCAAATTTGTTTTTAATCATAATTTTATAAAATTTTTGTATATTATAATTTGAAGTTTTTTATATATTTCTATAATAAGTATTTAAAAATTTTGTATTATTTATATTAAAAATATATTTATTTTGTAATTTACTTTTATTAAAAAAAAATAATAAAATTTTTTTAATTTTGTTATTAATATATTATATATATATTTATTTAACTCTTTTTAATAATTGTTTAAACAAATTTTCAAAATCAAAATAATATTTAATATATTGTTAACATTATTATATTTTTATTTACTATATCTAGCAACCTTTACTAATATCAACTACATTACTTATAATGCACATAAAAAACAATAACATTAGTTAACATGCTTTAGTATACCAAATCTAAGCTTTATTATTAATAATACAATACAACAATTTTTTTAATTTTAATTAACTAAAAATTACAAATACTAAACTACAGAAACTATACAATAAACTGTTAAACATTAATATTTTGTTTTTAATAACTATACATTAAATAATATAAATATTTATATAACTATACAAGAATATATCTTTTAATTACTTATTTAAACAATTGAAGAATATACAAATTCTAATCAAATTACAACTAATATTACTATTAAATTTTTAATACAATTGTTATATAATATATATAATTAAATATAAAAAGATATAATAAAATATTAACTAAATAAAATTAACATTTTATTAACTTGCACATATCTAAATCATATATTTAATATAATTTAAATTATACAAACTTTCATATTATTCTAAATTATTATATACTTAAAATTATATATATATCTTTAATATTAATAATAAAATTATGCTTCTATTTTTATTGAATATTCAATTAAAATTTTATATAAAGTATAAATTTATCTTTAAAATATTATAAAAAGAATAGAAGTTCAGACTAATTTATCTGTAATCTAGACTAACAGAAATAGTTACAATTTACTTAAATTTGAATATTAGTAATTATATATAGAGAATTAGTTTAATATTTGATTTATTAAATATATTAAGTGTTAATTTTTAAACTAATTAAATTAGGAAAAAAAGAATAACAAAGATGAAACAGGATTTAATAACAAGTTATAGTTAGAAAGTTAAGTTATAGATGTTGAAATATAGTAGATAATTTAGATTTTGTAATAGATTTGTTAATTAAAATAAAATAAAAACTTTATAGAAAGTTTAGTAATTACTTTTTTAAAAAACAAATTTGTAATAGTATTAATAAGTTTATTTGGTATTAAGCTTGTTAGAGTTAAGAAAATTAATAGTATATCTGATATATTGTAAATAAACATATTATAAAATAGTTTAATTTAATAAAATAAGTTGGTTATGATATTAGATATAATATCAAGTATAGTTAAATTAAAAGTATATTATAATAAGATATTTATACTAATCCAATGCTCACCTTGCTTAAACTGTCATTTAAACTCTAACAGAATTCAGAACTTATATATAATTAATGTATCTGCAATTATCTCTTTCCAATTTCTAGGAAGAGTTAATTTTAATACATTAAACTTTAATGTCAACTATATTGACCTTATTTATTCAACAGCTATTAAACATCTAATATCAATTCCCCTAGTACCAACAATTCTAATTCCAAACTCTTATATTTCTAAAATATTCAAAACTAATGAAGCAGCAAACACACTTGAACAATACTCAATTCTCAATAGCTCTCAATAATAATTTAACTTTTATACTGATGGCTTAGTAATTAATATTAAAACTGACCAATATACAATAGGCATTAACTAGGTTCAGATTAACAATAATAACCAAATTATTTACAAATTTTCTGCCAAAATTAATTTCTGACCATCATCTTACAAAGCTAAACTGATAACTATTCTCTTAGCCATCTCTACTATACTCTAAAATGCAATAGTCAACATCTTTACAGATTCCCAATCTATTATTACTAAATATACTAATATTTATATTATACTCTTCTATCCTAATAAATTTTTTAAATTCAATGCATAGCTTATATAGCATACTTTATTGAATATTATTAAAGCTTATAATCTTTAAATCTATTTTTATAAAGTACAAGCTCATATTAATAATAACCTAAACAATCTTATCAACTCTTTTGCTAAACAACATAATCTCTCTTCTAATTTATATTTTAACTATACCAATATCTACAACCTATACTACTTGCTATTCTGAGATCAAAATTTTATAGAATACTCTACAAAAACATTTATTAAAAATATTTGTAAAGCTTATATTTTGGCAATGTAGTTATTCCAAAAATAAAACCAGAAATAGAACCAACTTATTTTAGAAATAGATTGGAGATCCACTTGGTTATACTTTAATCATAACCAAAAATTAACATATAATATAACTAATTTCAAACTTAATTATTCTAAATCTTTTAAAATCAAAATTCTACTAAATGAACTACATATATATTTTCTATGTCACAAAATATATCCACATACTTTCCACAATATAAACTGCTTTTATTGCAACTTACCTGACTCATTAACTTATTGGCAAATATGTTCTAACCTAATATTACTCACTAGTATCATTCAAGATACTATCTTCAAACACATTAGTCAAAGCAACCTGAATCTTTCTAAAATCCAGCAAGAAGAACTTATTCAAAAAATCTAAACTATAAAACCTTTTATCTAATACCATTCAATAAAAACTCATTTTATCTTGATATCATTCTTAAAAAACTCATACTCAAATCTCTAATTCAAATAATTCAAAACCTTAATATTCCTTACAAATTAGCATCACAAATGATTATTAAAATACTACTTGAAATCAATAAGCTATGCTATGAACTACTCTGAAAATCATATTGTATAAACTTTTTAAATTAAAAAAAACAACAAGGCCTTAAATCTTCTTTTTCAAATACTCAACTCAAACTATTTATAATAGACAAACTAAATACAACTGCCAAACATATA